GGAAGTGGATATGATCAAAGTATGTATCTAAAAATAACAAGCCTTGTCATGGATTTTGGCGTTTCCCCCCTCCCTGTTTAAAAGGCAAACTGAAGAAGATTCTTAATCTTCTAATTTAAAGTATACAAGAAATCCCACTGATTTCAGACAGATATTATGGACAGAAAGTGTAATAATAGCTATTTGGTTCTCAAAAGATTAGGTATTTCTGGGTATGAAAATAGTGTTTTGCTTGGAGATCACGCTTGGCATCCCCATGCTAGCAGATAAAAAAAGTATCCTGCAATTTGGCTATAACCTATGATAATTTTATTAGCTGGGATAGTAAACCAACAGCACAGTGCTGTTCTTCAGGATCTGAGGGGCTTATTTCAGAATAAAACTCCACTGCCTTTTTGTTTAAATTGACCGAACTTTGATGATCAGAGCTCAGCTATTCCATCAATGCATGCACGAAGTATTAATTATTTTTTTAAGCTTGTGAATTACATTTATCTTGCTTACATCCAATATTCTTTATATCTCAAAATAAGATATGTTATACCTTAAACAGAGACTTTCTCACTAGCATGGAAAGAAACATGACTCCCAGAGGTTTTTGGAACCCAAAGCTGCCACAAATCCAGATTAAGCTCAAACTGCTCTGAGCCACAGGGCAGTGTAATTTCCAGGTATATTCTGTGCTCAAGGCAGAGGAGGAAAAGGTGTAGCATGGCTGGGGATGCCACTTGAAAGAATAGCTATTTTGGAATTTGCTCAAATTCAAAATGCTACTTATGGCAGAGAGGCTAGTTGTCCAAATACTAGTGAGTATTCAAAAATATAGGACAAAACACAGGATCAGGCATCACAGGTGCTTTATAAATAATACAAACTTATAACTGCCCTCCTTTTCTAAATGACTGTGCTTTAAAATGAACTCATTTGTCAGTGTGGGTGAAATTCATTTTTCATACAGCATGAACTCGCTCAGTGAAGGGACTTGTCAGTTCCTCCTTAGGACCGACAACGAGAGCTGCTTTAAATCAGTATTTCAGTGGAGCTGACACAGTTGCCCACTTACGCCTCCTTGCTCAGTCAGAGAAATCAGTCACACGGACTCTAATTTGGGGTATTATGGCGTAGGTCTTTCAATTCAGCCGTGAGTGGCCAGCAAATTAAGCTCTATCATTTCAGTGACTGCAGTGTACAAAGGTGCAAGCCAAGAATCAACGCCCTGGCTGGAAATGGTGATTGCAATTAGACTGCAATCAGCCTGGCGGGTTGACGTGATCAAGGGCTGCTCACAGCAGGAACATGATGGACCTCCTTCTTTTGGAAGATTTTAATTTGGGGCTGCAATGAGTAGGAAGTATACCAATGGCTGGAAATTGCAAAGGCTTGGTCACTAGTTTTGCAAGCTTGGCTCAATCAACCAGAAGCGTGGAAGTGTAGAAAAAAACTGGATGGGAAGAATGAAGTGGGAAGACATTGATATAAAATGCATCATCTGTACTCTTGGCTTTATTCCTCAAGTTACACGTGTGTAGATATTCCTCTGGTCTGTCTAAGCCTTATTTCAGTCTATGAAGGAAGTGGCCTTTTGTGCTCTTGGCCTTCCCCTTCCTGGCCATTTAACAAGCCAGTCTACAACTGGTCCCACACAAGCAAAACCATGGGGTTCAGCCTATGCTATATCTGGCTTCCCAAGTACCTTGGTTCACTCTTGTTTCAGACTTGTGAAAGATTTGCAGGCATAAAATATTTTAATTTTTTCCTCCAGAGATAAAAAGCTGGCAGTATGTTTATTTCCCTGTTCATTCTCATTTGAAAAAAGTATTTCACCACAATGGAATTAAAACTTATACTGTAAATTCAAATTACATCTAAAGGATGAATTCTGATGAATTCAGGCTGCAGAAATGGATAGGAAAAACCCCTGTTGACTTTCTCTGGGGTAACATTGTACATTAGACAAAACATATGACTGTTTTTAATGCTGACTTCTCATAGCCGATTTTTTTTTTTCTGACAATCTGTTTCTATTGCGTGTATTGCTGAGTTTCTTTTCTGCTGCAATAGCGACACTTAATCCACTTTTATTTCTGAGGACTTCAATTTATGAAGATAGAAACCTAAAGGCGGTAATTTATCCTAAAAATCCTAGGTGTTTGTCTTAAAAGAGGTTGGGCGAAAAATTCCTAGAAAGCTCTGCACTAAAATATGTCAAATTTTATTCCATGGACTCAAGCTAGATCATGTACCAAAAGCAATAGTGAAACTTTGAGGGACTAATAGCAGGATTAACTGAGTCTAAAAGCAGCAAAAGATCCCTCTTATCTCAGATTATTACTTTCTCCACACTCAAAACTCCAGTAATTCATATTTAAAATCTCTCTCATTCTTCATTTCCCATAGACCAAATCTGAAATGTAAGGACTAACTGACTATGTGACTACCACCTAACAAAACAGACCAAAATTTAAAAGATCTCAACAGCAGAGCTCTTCAAATTCACAAATGTCTTTATAGACTAAGCTTCTTAAATCTTTCTGCCCTGGCTCTGCTTTAACGAAAATTATAGAAAAATACGGAACAATTTGCAGGAAGAGACTGGAAAATCCGATTCACACCATGCATCACTTTTAGCTAAATTCATATTTGATATATTAGTGCCTAGGTTTTACTGGCAGCCCATTTATAGGATTGACATGAAAGTCAACATCCCCCAGCAAGTTCAATAAAACATTAAAGCTTCAGGTAACTCAGGGAAAAGAGTATTTGTATGGCTGAAAGCAGCATAACCAAACACTAAAAGTTCCCTTTGAACTTTCCACAGGCTCTTTCAGGATGAAATGGAAAGGTCTCTCCTTTCCTTCCATTAAGGCACTCAAAGTCATGAATTTTTGAAGCAGCATTTGAAGGGTTTTACTGGGAAAGGATGCAGTGAGTGTAAACGAGGGCACTTTGGAAGAATTTCACTTGAGCATCCACTGGGTATCCTTTGCTGGCTCAGTCACTTTCAGCAGTCTCATGGACAGGGACCGTCAATCACTTTATCCCTGTATTTGAACACTGAGCAAACCCAGGAAGGATTTTCAGCCCAGCAGCCTGGCACTATCTCTGCAGCAACATTTCTCAAAAGAAAAAAGACATTTCCCTTCAGCTGCCTTTGCTTTTGACTAAAATGCCAACATTTCTTATTGGCCTTCTTTCTCATTCCCAGGAACTACAGGAGGAGGAAAACCAAAAAGGGAACATTTCCATTTATCTTCCTATTTATAAGCAATTCCTGCACCGTGGGGAGGTCCTGCCCTGACCACAGCCATCCTCACCCCAGCCCCTCTCTGAGCCCACTGCTCAGCCTCTATCTGCAGAAGTGCCAGACCACATTTAAAGCAGCTGCTTCTGCAGCCTATGTGAAAAACATCCGCCGTGAACAGTAGCTTCCTATTAGGAAGCACAGCAACCCTCTATGGAGAGATTAGGAGACTGATGGATCCTGGGCAACTGAGACTCATAACCGGCTTAGAGAAACAAATCACAGCCTTCTCAGCTGATCCATTGCTCCTGGCACTGCCAGCAATA